GGCAGGGGAAGCGCCAGAGGTAAGGTCAAAGAGAGAGAGGCCGTCTGCCCTATCGCACTGTAAGAACAGCTGCAGGTCATCAACCCAGACCTCAAAGTCAATGGCCCGACCCTCAGCGTCAAAAGTGAGGACACTAGGGGTAGCCATGACTACAGACGACTAGGAGTGCAAACAGTAGGGTGAGGGTAGTGTCAGAATGTTATTCTTATGTTCTAGCCTGTAGTGGGGTGCTCTATAGCGAGTACAACCCTTCTAGGGTTTGCTATTTGTATCCCCATTTCTGCTAGTTCAACCCTCTTTCTTCTTCTAACTTTTGACATGGTATCAGAGCAGGTCGATCCCCTTGGATCGATCCTCTGGGTGGGCTCACCACCTCGTTGCTTCCGCTGCAACTGCTACTACTACTCTCTGTGCCGCACGCCCCGTGGCGTGCGGCATTTTTTCTTCCCGCCCTGCGCCCCGAGGTGCACGGCGGTTTTCTGCCCGCCGTGCGCCCCGAGGCGCGCGGCGGTTTTCTGCCCACCGCGCGCTCGGGGCGTGCGGCGGTTTTCTGCCCACCGTGCGCCTCGAGGCGCGCGACGGTTACCTGCTTTGCGCGGCGGTATTCTGCACGCCATGCGCTCGGGACGCGTGGCGGTTTTCTGCCCACCGCGCACCTTGGGCGCACGCGGCGGTTTCGCGTTCCGTCGACCCGCACGCCCGTCCCCGTCGACCTGCGTGCGGCTCCTCGTCGCCCTTCGCGGCGGCCCCGTCAACCCGCGCGCGGCTTCCGGTCGCCCTTCGTGGCGGCCCCGTCGACCCGCGCGCCGCCCCTGGGGACCCGTGCACCCGTCCCCGTCGACCCGCGCGTCACCCTGCGGCCCCCCTCCCCGCACACCTGAGTTCGATTACCGCACATCCGAGTTCGCTTCCCGTAAGCTTGTGCACGCTTCACGCACACCTGAGCTCGCTTACCGCACACTCAGGGTATGGGGGTGACGGGTATGGGGTGATGGTTGTGGGGGTGTCGTTTGTGCGTGCCGTCCCCTTCTCCTCCTCCTTCGTCTCCCACTGCTGCAGCTGTCGCTGAGGGGGGTGGTTGTGTGGGAGACTCGGGTTTAGGGTTTAAGGGGGGTGCGTGGGAGTGGAGCTAGGAGCGTATCAGCGGGTGTGTGTTGGGGGAGTTGGATAGTTAGGGAAGCTGCATGGAGGTTGCCGTCGTGTCGTCAGCAGCACCTGTATTCCGGGGGCTTCGCCCGGTAGCCCAGTCGTAGCCAGCTGTGCCAGCCGCCCGTGGGTCCGTTGCTCGTCTGCCGCTACTTTAGCCGCGGGGCCAGTTACTCCAGTATTCCGGGGGCTTCGCCCGGTAGCCGCTGTGCCAGTGTGCCTCCTGTTGCCCGAGTGTCTGCAGCTTCAGCCGTCGCCTCCCAACTCCTCTCGCTCTCACTCCTCCTCCTCACTTGCCCGTTGTGACCACCACTAGCTTTGCTCATAATTGTGCACTTGAACTTACTTCTTGAACTTGTGCTCAGAATGTGTGGTGACATTGTGATCCACCCTGAGCTTGTACTGCTTTGCTTGCTCTGCTGATTACACCCCACTTTGGCTATGGGGGTGTGTCAGAATGTTATTCTTATGTTCTAGCCTGTAGTGGGGTGCTCTATAGCGAGTACAACCCTTCTAGGGTTTGCTATTTGTATCCCCATTTCTGCTAGTTCAACCCTCTTTCTTCTTCTAACTTTTGACAGGCAGTGTAGTAAAAGAGGCGCTGTGCTCACCAGACTGGGCATCTCGGGCGGTCCGGAAGTAGGGCGGCTCGGCGGCTCGGCTGGTCGGCGGCTCAGCTGCTGGGCGGCTCTGCTGCTGGGCGGCTCGGCTGCTGGGCGGCTTGGCTGCTGGGCGGCTCGGCTGCTGGGCGGCTCGGCCGCTGGGCGGCTCGGCCGCTGGGCGGCTCGGCCGCTGGGCGGCTCGGTTGCTCTGCCGCTGGGCGGCTCGGTTGTGCTGCTGCAGGGCGGCGCGGCGGTCGGTTGCTCGGCCAGGTGAAACGGCTCGGGCGGCTCGGGTGGCGGGCGGCGCTGCAGCAGGTGACGGGGCCGAGAGTAAAGGCGGCGGGGCCGCAGTTAGGGCGGCGGGGCCGCAGGTAGGGTGGCAGGGCCGCAGGTAGGGCGGCGGGGCCGCAGGTAGGGTAAGACGGCGGAGCCACGGTAGGGTGGCGGGGCCTCAGGTAAGGCGGCGCACGGGCCGGTACGGGCGGCGACGGGCCGGAACAGGCGGCGCACGGGCGGCGACGAGCCAGGACGGGCGGCGACGGGCCGGGGTGGGCAGCGCACGGGCGACGACGGGTCGGGAAAGCGGCGCGGGGCCGGGACGGGCGGCGCACGGGCGTCGACGGGCCGGGGTGGGCGGCGAAAGGGCGGCGCCGGGCCGCGTAGGGTGGCGACGGGCCGCTAAGGGCGGCGACGGCCGAGCAAGGGCGGCGGAAGGGAGGTCGCTAGGGGCGACGCGACGGGGCCGAAGGAGGCCTAAGCGAGGCGCGCTCTGGGCAGAAAAAAAAAAAAAAAATCGATTGTGGTGGGCCCTAAGAACAGTTCCCACGAGGGAACCTGCTCGATACCATGTGGAAATAGAAACGAGAATGAATGAACTATGAATGAAGTGGGTACAAGTACTAACCCTAATTGGGTTGTACCCCCTATGGGATACCCCACTACAGACTACACAAATGTATAAGCTATAATGTTCTGACAGGCGTTTCCCTACCTCTGAGACTCCCTCCCCTGCTCTGCTCCCCGGCGCCTCAGCTCCTCTGGGCATTCGCTCTTGCGATGGCCCGGCCGGCGTGTACAGTGGCGTGCTCGGTCGGTCCCCGAGGGCGATGTCCGTAGTAGGACCCCGGTCTCGGTCGGCGTAGAATGTCAATTTTCTCGGCGAGCGCGAGAATCTCGTTGAAGTTGGAGAGTCCGCGCAGCATGATTTCGTGCGAGATATCCGGCTTCAGCCCTCCGACGTAACGGTCCACCCGCTCCGCTTCGTGCATGTAGCCGACCTGCTCGCAAAGTGCGAGAAAACCGCTCGTATAATCTTGAACCGACCCGAGCTGCCGCCAAGTGCGCAGTCTCTGACGCGTCGAAATGGAAGCCGCAATCGGCTCGAAGCGCGCCCGAAGCCCTGCGCACCACGCATCCCACGTGCTGTATTGGGCGGTCTCGCAGAACGAACTCCAGGTGACAGCTGGACCCGTGGGCCCTTCCTCGTGCGACGGTGGCTCGTAGGCGCGTGGTGACGTCACGATGACTCGCCACCAGTCCATGGCGGGGCCCCTTAGCAGCGAAACTGCATACCGAATCTTCGCGGCGTCCGACTCGACGTAGTTCGCGTCGAAGAAGACGTTCATCGTGAAGACCCACGATTGAACCGTCGGACCTCCACGTTGGCTTGGGTCGAAGCAGGGCGGGCGTTGTGGCTTGAGCGGCATTGGTGCCATAATGGCCTGTTCGCCACTTGTCGCCGCGAATTCCACGTGCTGACGGGCTTCACGGGGCTCCCGCGGGCTTGGTACGACCCCGCTTCCTCCCATGCCAGGCATCGGCTGGGCGACGCCATCACTGGCTGCGCTTGAGCGTTGTCCCATGCTCTCGTGTTGCGTTGGTGTGCCGGACGAAATGATGATCGGCTCGTCCGATTGTGCAGATGCATTTGGCAGTGCGTGTGATGTCGCTGGAATATTCACCGTGGATTGTTGACGGGCGGAGTCACGTTCCGCCGTGAGCGTCGCGATTTCGAGCGCCGAGTCTTCAAGTTGGCGCACGAGACGATCAAGCTGTTCCTGCGTCAATGTGGCGAGCGTGAAATCGGCCATGGCGGGGGTGTCAGGCGAGCTCAGCGAGAGCCTCGGTCGTGGCCGTGCGTGCTTACGAGAGAGCACTACGAGCGGCGGTGCTATATCGCTGAGAGACGTCTACCCCCCCCCAAAAATTGAGATAGTGGGGAAGCGAAAATGTGGGTGCGGTCCGAGAGGAGATCGTAGGCTCTGAATACCAAGTGTTACGAGTGCAATTGAGTAAGTGAACGAGAATTGCACTATCGAAGCAAAAAATACAATGAGCGAAGGCATGAGCGAAGAATGTATAGCGAAACTACAGTGGTAACGGTAATGGACTGTGGTTGTCGCGTGACGGGCCTGGGACTGAGGTTTGGGAAAGTGTCGAAGCGGAGGCCCGGAGCGCGGGTTACCAGCTGAGCCGTGAGGTTGGGGTGCGATGTGCGAAAATGGCGGGCTGATTGTCGATGCGAGGGTCGCGAGTGGTAACGGTGTTGACTGTGGTGCTATAGTGATGTACGCGTTGAGCAGGGATGCGAAGTAAGGAAAAATGATTTTCCTTACAATGTCTAAGGACTTCATCGCTGGCTACGATAAGCAGAAAACAACCCACTCTGTAAAACAGAGATACAGAGATCAATTTATGTTCAGGCAGAATATGAAATGCAGAATAGCGTACCAGCTATGAAGTGCTTGGTGGCATATGGCAGTGCTGAGAAGGGCCTCGCATAAACTGGGGTGGGGGGGATAAAAAGGAATGCACCTGGTTTGATCCATAAAATCCACGTATATTTATCAAATGTTACACAATTATCTGGCTTTGTTTCATTCCTTCACAAGTGGCACAGGGAGTGGAGAAACATTCCAAAAAGAATACACACATGGTACAAGACGTAAAATTTTCGCTCCCAGGTGGGCTTGAACCACCGACCTTATGGTTAACAGCCATACGCTCTAACCAACTGAGCTACGAGAGCTGTAACATGTTTGTGCATTTTGTTGGTGTAATTAAAGAAAACTTTCTACAAATTTACCATAGATTAATCTCCTCTGCAGATCCACCCACATTACTAGCAACCAACATACGGTAGACATCATAAGAAAATCATGTCTAACCCGAAGGGCAATACTGGTACCATTTCTATCTACAGTAACACATACCAAACGTGCGCAGTACTCAAAACAGATGCGACAACCAGGATCAACACCGAAGCATAGCACAGACTGCACCAGGTGTCTCATACGGCATGTCCGGCAGCCGCCGCCAAACCAAACCTCCCCGAGCCTCGGCCTCAGGTTCGTACATGAGGGCCAGGGCGCCGAACCTATATCCCACCATGCTGACTGCACCAATCGCCACTCCAGCCACCCCTCGGCCCCTTCCTCCTCTCCCTCCTCCCCTCCCTCCTCTCCCCCCCACTCCCCCTCTCCTTCCTCCAACATTCCCTCTCCCTGCCCTGCCTCCTACCCCTCTCCCACCACCTCTCCCTCCCGTTCCTCCTCTTGCTCCTCTTCCTCTTCCCCTTTCCCTCGGACCTTCATCCGGCAACTCCCTTGTAGGCTCAGGCTCAGGTACGGGCTCAGGTGTTGGCTCAGGTGCAGTCTCAGGTGCGGACTCAGGTGCAGTCTCAGGTTCAGTCTCAGGTGCGGTCTCAGGTGCAGTCTCAGGTGCAGTCTCAGGTGCAGTCTCAGGTGCAGTCTCAGGTGCGGTCTCAGGTGCGGTCTCAGGTGCAGTCTCAGGTGCAGTCTCAGGTGCGGTCTCAGGTGCAGTCTCAGGTGCGGTCTCAGGTGCAGTCTCAGGTGCAGTCTCAGGTGCTGGCTCATCATTGTCAGTGTTACCTTCTGCTACCTCTCCTGCCTCCTCACCTGCTTCCTCTCCCCCTGCCTCTTCTGCTGCCCCACCTATAGATCCTTCTCCTGCCTCTCCCCCTGCTCCTTCTGCTGCCAATCTCCCTGCTCCTTCTGCTGCCCCTCCTGTTGCTTCCCCTGTCACATCGCCTGTTACCTCTTCTGCTCCTTCTGCTTCTACCTCCCTTGTTGTTTCCTCCACTGCCCCTCCAGCCTCCCCCTCTGCCGTCCCTCCTGCCGTCACTCCTGCTCCCTCTCCTACCGCCTCTGCCCCTCTTTCGCCTCTTCTTCCCCCACCCCTCGCCCCCTCTCCCCCACCTCTCCCTCCCTCCCCTCCCCTCCTCCCCTCACGCATCCCAGCAGCAAAAGAAGCGACTCCCATGTCTTCACACGTGCCTCGCACCTGCACTACCAGCACCCTGGTTCGCGTGGCAACGCACCTAAACGACACTTTGCTAAGTATCATCGGGTCAGCGGGGGGGACGTATGGCATGCTGTGCATGTCCTTCCACTCATTGCCGCGGGTGTCATACCGCACGAATGAAATCTGTCCGGATTCGATGCACCTGCAGTATTATGGGGTCGGGGGGGGGGATGTATGGCATGGTGTGCATGTCCTTCCACTAGTTCCCACGAGTGTCGCAATGCACGAATGAAGGAAATTTGTCCGGATTCGATGCACCTGTGCAAAAAAAAAGAACGAATTTACACGCGTTCGGCTGGGTTCACAAGATAGCTTTGCTTGTAAGTATGCTCGCGCATGTCGTTTGTTCATCAGTGCGTGAGCAAGGAGGTGGTGGCGAGAGGAGCAAGGGAAGCGCATGGGAGTGAGTAAGCGATGTGCAAGAGGGAAATGTGAGAGTGGAAATGCAGGCAGAGGTGAAGTATGCGTAGAGTCAGATGTGGGTATGGGAATGTGGAGAGAAATGCGCAAGCACAAGAGTAGACTAAGATCAAAGTGATTAAACAAATCAAAGAGCTAGAAAGAAAACAAAAACCAAGTGAATGGGACAGTCACACGAGGCCAATAGGAAAGACATACCTGAGAATGAAAATGTAGCGACCAACGACCGCCGAGTCTAGCACGACCCCCAGCTTCGGAATCGGCTCCCGAACCTCCCAGGTTCGGGCCCTGGGGTGGAAAACCTCCAAACTTAGCGCCTCAGCCCCGGCCCTGAATTGAAGACTGCTCCGGGTTCCACCAATCACGTGCAATCTCCCCCCCACACACCCCCCTACCGCCCCCACACGCACCCTGTTCATTTCGGGGGCTAATTCCCAATAACCCCCTCTTTTTCTGCGCCTTCTCCTCTCCCACTCCCCTACGTCTTCCCCAGCCTCTGCCGCAGCCTCTGTCTCTCCCTTTCCCCCCACGTTCCCCCCCTCTTCTTCTATCATTCGCCCTTGCCCCTCCGGAATGAAAACTTCAGCTGCCCGGAGGTCCTTCTTCTCCTCGCCCTCCTCCAATGGCTGCTGCCGAACCCCGCCCGCGACGAAAATTTTCCCCTTCCACTGCCCGCAAACGAACTTGAACCGCGGGATTTGCAGTGGCGGAGCAGAGGAGAGGGAATTCGTCCACGCGTCATACACAAAAGGGGGGCGGCCTTTAGCGAGTATGCCTCCGAACAGGAAAATCCGATTCGATACAGCACAGCACTGGGAGAAATCATCTATAGCTAAGGCTTCGTTTGGAAACACAACCCACGACCAGGAATTTAACTTCGGATTAAATGTCTGAATTAGAACCTTCGACTGCGCGGTCTGTCCTTTACTAATCACCACTAAGTGATTGTCCATCTGTCCTAACGCCTCCCTGTATTCTCGGAACGCGTCTGTGCGAATGATACCGCGCCACGTGCGGCACACGTGCTGCATTGGCCCTAAAGCGCGCCGATCCGCCCGAGCCAGGCACTCCAAAAGCAGGTCGTCCGTCAGATATGCGATCGGAGCGTTCTCAGCCGTCGGATCGTCCAGCGTCGCGTATCCGCCGTTCATTTGCGGGGGAATGTCGGAAGGAAGAGGGGGGAGCTCGATTTCGTACGCGGAAGAGGAGGAGGAGGATGCGCCGAAAGGACGCCGGAAAACACGGCGGAAAATCCGCGACAGATTGTTTGCTCCAGAGTTTGATTGAGTGGCCGCGGTTGCGGACGGCGAAGCCGCTGACGTGGCACCGGGTTCGCTCTCCCGATCCTTACCCCCGCCGAAGCGCACCTGACTAAGCCGCCTGACGTGCGTCGTAACGCGACTCGCAACGGCAGTGGAATACGAAAAGAACTTAGCCTTCGCACCGCTAGAAGCACCACCCCCACTATAAGCAGCCGCGCTGTCCCGTTTAGCGTTCGGTCCGTTTGTAAGCTCATTCGCGAGATCATCCAACTCCTCCTCTTCCATCTCCTCCTCCGATGACGAAAATCCGTCCATGGCTTCGCGTTGACCGCGTTGACTGCGTTGACTGCCGAACCGCCCGCTTAGATGTCTGCTGCTGCTGCCGCTCCCACTGCTGAGACTGATGCACGACGGGACTCTTCCGCTGCTTCTGCCACTAGCCCGGGAGTCCCGGGAAACCCGGGAATCAGCAGGGGGCGCGGCGAAGGAGAGCAGAGACGACGGGAGGATGCGGAAGCTCCCCCCTCCGCCTCCGCTTCCGCCTCCGCCGGTCGTGCATTCCTCCGCCAGCAGTGCTTTTCGCCGTTGCCGTTACTTGCGCCCTGCGCTCCGCTGTGTTTATACTGCAGAAACCGCTTCACCCCTACTAGTTGACAACAAATTGTCAGGTCATTCTAATGGTAACTCAAACCGCACCCACACCACGCCTCTGTCGTCTATCTTGCCGTCAAGAAACGAAGCTTTACCAATTCTGTCGATAAAAATGTTGCTCTATTTCAACAAAGTCAACAACTGGTAAAGACCAACTATACTACTCCACACTAAATGCCTCCTGCTCTGATCGCTATGGCTGTCGTTTATTCATTCTCAAAACCATGGCTTCCGTTTATTTTTTCCCTTGAGACCGCCAATCCCACACTGATTCTGGGAACACCGTGCCAAACGACGGCACCCTTTCAGTCCATTGGCGAGCATTGTTACTTTCGTTACCGTGTTCGCGCAGACGTGCTGCTACCTGTGGATCTTGTTCGCGTGCACCAGCAGTGAGTTCCAGCGGCGTGCCCTGTGGACCATATCGTTTCGCAAATGTAACTCGTCGATATCGCCAAACTCAACAACTGGCCTCTGGTCGCCACGACCCGCACCACTTGCCACCACACGGCCCACACAATTTCTTGCATCGATATTAGAGCCTCCAAAACTCTCAAAACGTCTTGACCGAGTTTCAGTTCACCGTAAATGACAAAGTTAGACAGAGCTTCATCTTAAACATATGATCCTCTTGATATTTTGGCAATATGGTTCCACATCTTCATAAGCCCGTCAAAACTTGGTTCTTCTCTAACCTGCCCAGAAATAACAGGGTTAGCCCTATCAACTTGTGCTGCCTCAGGGGCAGTAACTCTATGCAGACCCAACCTCTCAACAGCAAAATCAGACGCCAACTCATTTGACCGGCAAGCACTGATCCCACCTTGAAATGCATTGAAGGGTTTCCCTTCACAATCAACATTCGCCTTTCTCGCCCGCGAACCAGCCTTTCTCGTGAAATTCTGCCTCTCAGAGGTTCCAGAAACAACAGTCTTCTTGTCAGAAATCAGCTGACATAGCGATGCTTTCTCGCCATCTGGCTCCCCTTCTCTCACACAATCACCGCCCCGCCTCCTTTTCCTTAGTAAATCAATTCCACCCACATCGATCGCAATCTTATCAGGCAAAGAAGCACTATCAGGTTCCCTCACACCCGTCAAAAACTCCTTGTGTAATTGCACCTTCACTTTCGCTTTGACCTTCCCATTTTTCACTCTCCCCTGCCTATCACCTCCCTTGAGGTAAACCCTATCACCTGACTTGTGTGCATACGCGTCAAAGCAAACCCCGCCTTTTCCTGCTTCTTGCCTTACCCCCACACGCTCCCCACACACCCCTCGTGTACCCCCTCCCACCCTATAGTCCAAGTCTAAAGCCCGACTCTCAGCTTCTCCTGCTCCTCCTCCCATCTCCTTGCGTGCACCAGCACCACCTCCTCCTCCAGCCTCATTCTGTGAACCTGTATCCCCCTCCTCCTTATCACCTGCCACGTGCTCCCCATCTGCCACGTCAGCAACATCATCATCCACGTCCTCCCCAAGCCTCACCTCCTTGGCCTCTGCCCTCCACTCCTCACCCAGTCCAAAGCTTTCCAAATCTTCCTTGCTTCCCCAACCTCCCTTGCTTTCCAAACCTTTCCTGCTTCCCAGACCTCCCTTGCTTCCCAAACCTCCCTTGCTTCCCAAACCTCCCTTGCTTCCCAAACCTCCCTTGCTTCCCGAACCTTTCCTGCTTCTCAGACCTCCCTTGCCTTCCAAACCTCCCTTGCTTTTCAAACTTCCTTCGTCTCCACCATCCCCCCCCTCTTCAACGTCCTCTCCCTCCTCATCATCCTCCTGCCCTGTCAGATCAACCACATCTACGTAAGGCTCTCCTACCCCACCTTCCTCATCTATCCCCACTACCTCCCACACGCCCACCTGCTCCTCATGCCTCCTCTCCCCCCTGCCGTCCCTGCCACCCCCACCCTCCGTGATAACTCCTCGCTTGCCCCCATCACCATTTCCACCACCTACCACTCTTCCACTCCCCCCCCCACCTTCTCCCGGATTTGTGGATGCGCAGTCGCCGCCTACTCTCACACCTGCCATCCCATCCCTTGTGACATTGTGTGGCAAGACTGGGCAGTGTGTGGAGCGAGGTGAACGCTCCTGGTTTGGGGCCGTTGCATGCGACGCCTCTGGAATCGCGGGGCGAGGCGACGCCTCTGGAATCGCGGGGCGAGGCGAGCACACAGCTCTCACAACCGGTCGAAAGAGCCGCCGCAAGCCGTCCATCTCCCCATCCTCCTTCACCACACCCACGCTTATCAGGCCGTCCACAGGTGGAAGCGTGCCTGTCAGTGAGCCTGAATGAGGAGACACGCCTGTTGGCGCGTCCACAGGTGGACGCATGCCTACCACAGCAGCATTTGGTGCTGCCACTGCAACCTTCCCTCCCTCTGCATCTCTGCTGCCTCTGGCTGCACTGCTGCTCCCTCCTCCTGCCACTGCACTGCTATTCCTTGCTACGCCACTGCTCCCTCCAAGCGTGCTCGACTTCCCCTCCAGCCTTGATTCGTCTCGCCCTCCCAATCCCTCACCAAATCTTGTTTCCTCTCGCCCTCGTGAATCTCTTGCCTCTCTTGATGTTCGTGACTCTCCACCTCCTCTCAGCCTGTCACCCTTTCTCGAGCCACCACCCACTTCCACTCTCTTAAAGCAGTCAAAAAGAGTCAACCCTTTTCTAGGTTTGTGACAGTATGCTGCTTCCTCCCTCCCTGCCTCCCTCGCCTCCTCGCTCCCTTCGTCTGCCTCGTCTCTCCTTTCCTCTACCTCCATCTGCCCCTCTTCTGCCCTCTCCCACCTTTCCCTCTTGATTCCATCGCCATCAGACATCCCTGTCGCTCGCTCTCCTTCTGTGCTCCTTCCTTCCTTGCACCTCCTTCCTGTCGCTTGCACCTGCTTCCCTCCCTCCCCATCCCCCTCACCCTCATCCGCCTCTCTCATTCTCTTCCTTCCTTTCACACCCCCCTTGCCCACACCCAGACCACCACCAGCCTTCTTATCACCCCTTCTCTTCCCACCTCCCTTCTTCTCACACCCTTCCCCTCCCTCTCCCCCTTCCTTCCCCCCCCCCTCTCCTCTCTTCTTAGCCTCCAAAGCCACCAACGCAGCCCTCGCTCTCCTCCTCTCCTCAGCCCACTGGCGTTTTTGGAAGTTAGTGTGCGACAGGTGGCACGCCACACAGAGAGTGCGCAGATTCTCCACTCCGCACTCCCCTCCCCCCTCTACCACGGCCACTTTATGATCCGCATGCCACGCATTGCCCTCTGTGGGTATGTCTATTAGACGTTGCAGCCTGGGGAGTGGGCAGGGGGAGGAAGTGGGGAGCAGGATGGCAGGGATATGAGGTGCAAACACAGGGAGGAGAGAGAGGCATTGGGAAAAAGAATGGGAGGGGAGGGGAGTTAGTGTGCGACAGGTGGCACGCCACACAGAGAGTGCGCAGATTCTCCACTCCGCACTCCCCTCCCCCCTCTACCACGGCCACTTTATGATCCGCATGCCACGCGTTGCCCTCTGTGGGTACATCCACCAGCCACTGCAGCCTGGTGGGCGGGGAGGAGAATGGCGATGGGAGGGGAATGGGATGGTGATGGGAAGGAGAGGAAGATTCTCCACTCCGCACTCGCCGCCCCCCTCTGCCATGGCCACTTTATGGTCAGCGTGCCATGCGTTGCCTTCCGTGGGAAGGTCTACCAGTCGCTGCAGCCTGAGGGGGTGGGGTGAAGGATGGGGGAGGGGAATGGGGTCAGAGATTCTCCACTCCACACTCGCCGCCTCCCTCCACCACTGCAGCTTTATGATCCGCATGCCATGCGTTTCCCTCCGTGGGAAGGTCTACTAGTTGCTGGAGCCTGGGGATAAGGAGAGGGATGGGAGGGAGTGGGGGACAGGATGGCTGGGATATGGGGTACAGCCACACAGGGAGAAGAATTTTGAGGCGCCTCAAAATACACCACAATGCACGTGGGGAACAGGATGGCTGGGATATGGGGTACAGCCACACAGGGAGGAGAGCGAGGCATTGGGTGAAGGAATGGGAGGGAAATGGAGGGCGGTGTGCGACAGGTGGCACACCACACAGAGCGTGCGCAGATTCTCCACTCCGCACTCGCCACCCCCCTCTGCCACGGCCACTTTATGATCTGCATGCCATGCGTTGCCCTCTGTGGGAATATCTATTAGATGTTGCAGCCTGGACCATACAGAACCGCACTGCACTGTACCGCACTCACAGTGGTACATGGCGAAGTGGGGCGCCCAGTGCAGGATCACTCGGCGACTGTCAGCAGGGGGTAGCACCCTGATGGCCGGGGCCAGACTGCAGCACAGCACTGAACAAGATTGCACAGCTCTGAACAAGATTGCACACCACTGCAGAGGACTGCACTCACAGCTTGGGGTACTTGGCAAAGTGCGGCGCCCAGTGTAGGATCACTCGGATCCTCTTCGGTGGTCAGCGGGGGGTAGCGCCCTGATGGCCGAGAGGAGAGCGCAGCACAGCACTGCACAGCATAGCACACCACCGCACAGCACTGTACACGACTGCACTGCACCGCACAGCACCATTGCACTCACAGCTTGGGGTACTTGGCGAAGTGGGGTGCCCAGTGCAGGATCACTCGGCGGCGGTCAGTAGGGGGTAGCACCCTGATGGCCGAGACAAGAGCATGGCAGTCGAGGTTGCATGTCACACACACGCCTCGCTCGAGTGCAAATAGCTCCTGAGGTGATGAGAACGGGGAGAGGGAGGGGGGGGAGGACGGATGGGAGAGATCAGAGCGGTCAGCAGGGGGTAGCACCCTGATGGCTGAAACCAGAGCGTGGCAGTCCAGATTGCATGTCACACACATGCCTCGCTCCAGTGCAAACAGCTCCTGATGTTGTGCGTTGGTAATGCAGGGAATTGACAGGAGGGGAGGAAGACAAACCACAAAGCACGAAGCAACTCCTGAGGTGTGGGACGAAAGGCAGGGGCAACTGCAGTGCAACCGCACATGCCATGCCCGAATGAAACACCTTCTGAGGTGGGATGTGAGGAGGGATGTGAGGAGGGATGTGAGGAGGGATGTGAGGAGGGATGTGAGGAGGGATGTGTGGAGGGATGAGAGGAGGGATGAGAGGAGGGATGAGAGGAGGGATGAGAGGAGGGATGTCAAGAGGAGAAACGTAAGGAGGGAAGAAGGCATGCGAGGAAGGAGGTGGGGTTCTTACCTGGCGAAGGAACGAAAGGGAGGTGCGAGAGAGGTAGGTGGAGAAGCAGGAATCGCAGCCGAAGAGATGGCGGGGAACCGTTGGCGCCCTTGCTGCATGCGTCCTGGTGAGAGGCAGATTCACACGGCAAGGAATCGTGAAAATCGGGAGAGGTTAAACAGAGAGGTAGGTGGAGAAGCAGAAGTCGGAGCAGAAGAGATGGCGGGGCACCGTTGGCGCCCTTGCTGCATGAGTCCTGGTAAGGGACAGAGAGATACACGGAGTGACAGTGAGAGAGGTAGGTGAGGAGAAGCAGGAGTGGGAGCAGAAGAGATGGCAGGGCACTGTTGGCGATCTTGCTGCGAGGGAACTGGTGAGAGAAAGCGGGGGAGAGTGGGAACGGGAGGGATAGAGAGGAGAAGGGAGAGGATGAAGGGAGAGGATGAAGGGAGAGGATGAAGGGAGAGGATGAAGGGAGAGGATGAATGGAGAGGATGAAGGGAGAGGATGAATGGAGAGGATGAAGGGAGAGGATGAATGGAGAGGATGAATGGATAGGTAGGTGGAGAATCAGGAATTGGAGCAGAAGAGATGGCGGGGCACTGTTGGCGCCCTTGCTGCATGAGTCCTGGTAAGGGACAGAGAGATACACGGAGTGACAGTGAGAGAGGTAGGTGAGGAGAAGCAGGAGTGGGAGCAGAAGAGATGGCAGGGCACTGTTGGCGATCTTGCTGCGAGGGAACTGGTGAGAGAAAGCGGGGGAGAGTGGGAACGGGAGGGATAGAGAGGAGAAGGGAGAGGATGAAGGGAGAGGATGAAGGGAGAGGATGAAGGGAGAGGATGAAGGGAGAGGATGAATGGAGAGGATGAAGGGAGAGGATGAATGGAGAGGATGAAGGGAGAGGATGAATGGAGAGGATGAATGGATAGGTAGGTGGAGAAGCAGGAATTGGAGCAGAAGAGATGGCGGGGCACTGTTGGTGCCCTTGCTGCATGAGACCTGGTGAGGGATAGACAACGGGAGACAAGAAGCGAGATACGAGTGACAGATGGGTGATTTAAGGATGGCGTTCTGACAGATGGTTGGTTTTGTGATTTATCAAAATTGGTCCATTTAATGTTGCGGGCCTTGTATCAAGGAGGAGTGTAAAGAGGATTGTTGAAAGGAAAGCGTGTGTGATGCACTATCAGGGTCACCAAGACTGATAAAGGGGATGTTACTAAGGGGATGGTGTTAGAAGAGCGTCTCACCGGCAGATCTGACCACACATGCGGCAGAGTGGGGCCCAGTGATTGCTGCCACGAGGCACACTCTCAGAGGCTGAGACGCCAGCAGGACCAGACTTGGCTTCGTGCAAGTGCTCAGTGCTTGCACACGCTGCTTCTGTTTCTGCTTCCCCTGCCCCAGCGCCTGCCCCTGCCCCTGCCCCTGCCCCTGCCCCTGCCCCTGCCCCTGCCCCTGCAGCTGCTCTTTCTCCAGTCGCCACCCGTCCCCCTTCTCCTTCCCCCGCCCCTGATAGTGCTTGTTCTGCCATCTCCACCACTACTCCAACTGTAACTGCTGCTTTCACTGTGCCTGTCGCTTCCCCTGCTGTAGCTGCTGCCACTGCCGTTTCTGCTACTCCTGCTACTCCTGCTGCTTCTCCACCTTCTCTTGCTGCTGCTCCTCCTGGCACAGCAGCAGCAGCAACAGAACCACCACCAGCAGCAGCAACAGCAGCAGTAGCAGCAAGTCGCCCCCACAGCTGCCATTCTGTACGCATGCTAGTGCCCCGCCCATGCACCCTCACCGCCCTCATCTCCCTCTCCACCACCACCACTCCTCCTCCTCCATCCGCTGATGGCCCTCTGGCTGTTCCTCCTGACCCACCTGTGCTTCCACCACCCACTCCCCTTCCCTCACTGGCAGCAGTGAGTATATCCCCTCTCGTCGCCCACCTCTTCTTGCTGCCACACGGCCCTGCCATGCCCTGCCAGCACCACACACAGGAGGAAAATGAGCTGGAGGTTACTCCTTAGCGGCAGCAAGTATATCCCCTCTCGTTGCCCACCTCCTCTTGCTGCCACACGGCCCTGCCATGCCCTGCCATGCCCTGCCAGCACCACACACAGGAGGAAAATGAGCTGGAGGTTACTCCTTAGCGGCAGCGAGTATATCCCCTCTCGTTGCCCACCTCCTCTTGCTGCCACACGGCCCTGCCATGCCCTGCCAGCACCACACACAGGAGGAAAATGAGCTGGAGGTTACTCCTTAGCGGCAGCGAGTATATCCCCTCTCGTTGCCCACCTCCTCTTGCTGCCACACGGCCTGCCATGCCCTGCCAACAGCACACACAGGAAGAAATTGGGCTTGATTTGGGGTTACTCTTTCAATGCACATATCCACAACACCTCTCGCCATAACGTTGCTGAAAGGGAGCGGGGCGGGAGCAGCACTTGCTCAGCTCCAGCACTTGCTCATCTCCCAATAGGCAAACACTATCGGAAACGAGGCGTCTCACCATAACACCTATCACCATAACACCTATCACCATAACACCTATCACCATAACACCTATCACCATAACACCTATCACCATAACACCTATCACCATAACACCTATCACCATAACACCTATCACCATAACACCGCTCACCACAACACCTCTCACCATGACGTCACTGAAGGCTCACCATGACGTCACTGAAGGCTCACCATGACGTCACTGAAGGGGAGGGGGAACAGCACTCGCTCCAGCTCCTCCGCCACAGGAAGCGCCAGGATCCTTCCAAGCAGCTTCCTCCGGTGCTGCGGCTTCAGCGCCCCCCACTCGCTGACGAATGACCTGGCGGCCTCTCGAAGCGCCACGTGTCGCCGCAGGATTGGCGGCATGCGATCCTCTGAGTCCACGAGCTGGGGGGAAGCTGCAGAGGAACCTTCCTTCTTGCTTTCTATGACACAAAGGGGGTTGCTTATAACGAGGTCCAGATCTTCTGGATGGAAGTTTTGCTCGAGTGGAACTGGGGCGAATGGACGGTCAGGATGGCTGCAGAACAGATGGATCCTGCCCGTGTGATTGCTCACCTGCCCAAATAAAAGTCCCCACAAGTCATGGCACCGGATTATAAGGAGGCGCATAATGCATACTCGCAACGCAAGAATACTCACAACGTAGGGAAATCACAAGCACAGACAAGCATGGAAAAGACGCACGGAGGGAATGCAAGGAGGGAAAGGTGCAAGGTGGGAATGATACAAGGTAAGGCTCACACGGACCTGTGAAGGATGCCACATGGGAGGAAAGGGCTAAAGAAGCTGGGAAACGGAAGTTTGGACAGAAACAAAGGCATGCGCATTCATAATCACCTCGAATCGCAGGTCCTCCGGTTTGATCTGCGTCCATCGCTTTCCATCTGCCTCCTCCTCCTCCTCCTCTTCTTCCTCCACCCTGCCCATTTTTCCCTTATCATCTGCACAACAGCGAATTGCTGCACACTTCCCTCCCACATCCCTACTAGGAGCACTGCTCTCCCCCACTGGCCTGCAGCGACAAGGACTATTGGTGTCACATTCATGTGCGTACATGTCTTCCGCTTGCGGTCTGCTCAATGAGGCGCCTGGCAGTTGGGGCCTGTTTAACGTGGCCTTTTCTTCCTTGCTCTCCATTCCACCGGCGCCCTTCTCTGCTTCTCTACCCTCAATCTTGCCCCCCTCTCCCAGTTCATCGCTTCCCGTCCCCTTCTCTGTCCTTCTTCGCTTCACAGCAGAACCATCAGCAACACTATCCACTGTCAACCCTCCCTCTTGCTGCTTCTCCCCATCCTCAGCAGACTGGTCAGCAAAGCTATCCATTAGAAGCCTTCTTTCCTGCCTCCCCACTTTCTCCACCCCTCCCTCTGTCCTTCTTCGCTTCACAGCAGAACCATAAACAACACTATCCACTGTCAACCCTCCCTCTTGCTTCTTCCCCCCGTCCACAGCAGTACCATCAGCAAAGCTATCCATTAGAAGCCTTCTTTCCTGCCTCCCCACTCTCTCCACCCCTCCCTCTGTCCTTCTTCGCTTCACAGCAGGACCATAAACAACACTATCCATTGTCAACCCTCCCTCTTGCTTCTTCCCCCCGTCCACAGCAGTACCATCAGCAAAGCTATCCATTAGAAGCCTTCTTTCCTGCCTCCCCACTCCCTCCACCCCCCCCTCCGTCCTGCCTCGTTTAACAGCAGACCCGTCCACAACACTATCCACTACCAGCCCTCCCTCTTGCTGCTTCCCCCCATCCACAGCAGCCGACACACGCTCTGCACTGCGGCACAGCCTCTGCCACGCCGTCTCATCCCGAGAGTCCTGAACAGAAGGAATGCACGAGAAAGGTAAGAAGAGGAGCGAGAAGAGAGGAGTGAGGAGGCAGATAGAGTGACATAACTTCCCTTCCAGCACTCCCTCTTGCTGCTTCCCCCCATCCACAGCAGCCAACACGCGCTCTGAACTGCGACACAGCCTCTGCCACGCCGTCTCGTCCCGAGAGTCCTGGATATGGGCAGGGAGGAGAGGAGAGGAGTGGAGTGAGACAGGCGATATAATGACTTCCCTCCCTCCCTCTCTCGTGCTGCTCCCCCCCGTCCATACCACAGCAGCCGGCACTCGTTCTGCACTGCAGCACAGCCTCTGTCACGCCGTCTCATCCTGAGAGTCCTGGATGGGGGCAGGATGGAGGGAAGAAGAGGAGTGATGAGAAAAGAAGGCAAAAAAAGGGTCATCCCTGTCCCCCTCTGTCTTGCTGCTTCGCCCCATCCACAGCAGCAGACACACACTCTGCACTGCGACACAGCCTCTCCATGCCGCCTCGTCCCCGAATTGACTTTTGAGGCGCCTCAAAAGTCGACACTCTGCACTGTACCGCGACACAGCCTCTCCATGCCGCCTCATCATCACTTTTGAGGGAATCCTGGGTGAGGGGGATGGGGAGATGAGGGGGAGAGAGGAAAAATGAGAAAGCCTGTGCGCCCGCCCTATCCTCTGGCGGAAGCAGATCTGGTGCTGCGGAATATTTAGCATTTACGTTTGGGTTGCGGAAACAAAGCAAGGGAGCCTCACCTTAGCACAGAACATTACCACGTTGACAGGGAAACTCTGGCCCCGCCTGTGCGCCCTGTCCTCTGCCTGCAGCAGATCTTCCGCAGCTTATGTTGAGAACCTGTATTAGGGTTGCAGCAGTCTCACCTTGGCACAGAACATCACCACGTTGACAGGAAATTTTTGGCCTCTCCTGTGCGCCCAATCCTCTGCCTGCAGCAAAGCCGCTGATTTGCCACTCACCATCTTTAAGGAGGAAGAATCCTCACCTTGGCACAGAACACCACCACGTTGACAGGGAACCTCTGGCCTCGCCTGTGCGCCCTATCCTCTGCCTGCAGCAGATCTGCTGATATGTCATGCCATGCACCTTGAGCCAGGACGCAGCACAGTTACATCCTCACCTTGGCACAGAACACCACCACGTTGACAGGGAACCTCTGGCCCCTCCTGGGCGCCCTGTCCTCTGCTTGAAACGAATCCACTGATTTGCCACTCACCACCTTGAGACAGGAAGCAAGAGTCTCACCTTGAGACAAGCAGCACTCTCACCTTAGCACAGAACTCCGCCACGTTCATCACATGGAATCTCTGCCCCTTCCTGTGCACCCTATCCTCTGCCTGCAGCACATCCGCTGCCTTGCCTCTCACCTTGAGGGAGGAGGAATCCTCATCTATGAAGTAGGGCTGCAGTGGTCTCACCTTGGCACAGAACACTACCACGTTGACAGGAAACCTCTGCCCCCTCCTGTGCGCCCTATCCTCTGCCTGCAGCAGATCTTTCGCCGCTTATGTTGAGAGACTGGATCAGGGTTCCAGCAGTCTCACCTTGGCACAGAACACAACCACGTTCACAGGGAACCTCTGCCCCCTCCTGTGCGCCCTGTCCTCTGCCTGCAGCAGATCTGCTGCCGCCCTCGGGATCTCCGCAAACACAATCGTCTGCGCCGCACTAAAGTCCAAGCCCACGCCGCCCGCCGTCACGCCCACTATCACCACCCGGACCTGAGGCTCGGTGGCGAACCTCTTGACAGCCTCGGCCCGCTCCAGAGGAGGCGTGGTGCCGTCCACCCGAACCAACTCAAACCGCATAGCAGCTTTGGCAGGCTTGGCAGGTTCGGCAGGCTTGGTACGGCACGCAGGCTCGGCAGGGTCGCCGTACCTCCTTCCCCTGCTCCCCGCATCCCCACCTCCAATCTCCACCACTCCTTCCTCTTCCTCTCCTTCTCCTTCGCCCTCTGCCATTCCACTTCCCCTCACCCCCTGGGATTCCCTTTCTCCCTCAGCTCCCCCCACTTCCTCTGCCCCCCCCACCTCTTCACCCGCCCCTCTCTCCTCATCCATCCCACCCCCCTTCTCCTCATCATCGCCTCTCCTCAGAATGCTGGCAGCAGCAATGCGGTAGACAGCAGCCTGTAGGGCGTCCATCACCACGTGATGGTGGGCGAAAATCACCATCTTCTCTACCATCCGCCCATTCCTTCCCCTGTGCTTCTTCTCACTCCTCTCTTTCCTCTCGCTTGGTCCCTCCCCCTCCACATCCCCACCGCCTCCAACCCCTTCTCCTCCCCTTCCCTCGCCTCCCACCCCTCCCTCGCCTCCCTCTTCCTCTCCGCCCTCCTCACACCCCTCCCAGCCCCTCAGAACCGAGCAGTGACTCAACCACTCTTCCACCCCTCTCATCTTGGCCAGTCCAAGTTCTTCAGGGCTCAACCCCCCAACCCCAAACTTCCCTCCTCTCCGCCCCTCCCTCTCCTCTGCTCCCTGCTTCCTCCTCCCCCTACCACCCCTTACTCCCCCTCTTCCACCTCTTATGCTTCCACCCCTCACACTCCCCTTTCCGTCCCTTTCCCCACCTCTTCCACCCCCCACATCCCCCCCACCAGCATTTGAATTACCCCCTTCAGCCCTTAAAGCCCTCATCCTCCTCCCCCTACCGCCCTCGGCCGCCTTTGCATCACCCACAAGTGCCTTCTTATTGCCTTGTACGATATCCGCCGTTTTACAAGGGTCAGAATTACAGCTCCGCTCACTGTTTCTTTCACTGCTCTTTTCCACTTCCGGGTCCTTCAAATTTCCCTGTTCCACACCCTCTTCCCCTTCACCCTCTTCCCTATCATCCTCCTCACCCTCTCCTTCCTCTCCTGCCTCCTCTTCTCCCCCTTCCTCCCCCCCGTCCTCATTGTCCTCTCCCCCATCCTCCCCCTCTTCTGTATCTACATCCTTGGATTCTTTGTCTCTATACACCACAGCACTACCCCCTGCCAGCTCAGCAACTCTCTGAACCGCAAGTGCCACGTCAGATGGTTCAAGGCGCAGCCTGATGACCTGGCGGCGCTTAGGTGGCAGCTGCAGTGCCACCTCAGACTTGAGCCGACGGATCTGCAGCAGGGCAGAGAGAAACGTCCATCCACACACACATACATAGTACATGATCGCTTGCATCATCTGGAACAAGAGAAGGAACAAGACTAGGGAGAAAGAACAAGAGGGAAAGGCTCAAACGATGATTCGTGCCTCTGCCTCACTATGAAGGTCTGTGACTGCACCCCTCCGCACCTGGGAAAACGCCTCCTCACCATGACGGTGCGGGACAGCAGGACGTGCAGCACACGCAGTCGAATCCCCCTTGAGAATTCCCTGCTGTCCTGAGGTGGCAGAACGGGCTAGCACAACCACCCCCCCTCCTCACCACGACACACCCCTCTTCACCGTGACCATGTGTGACAGCACCCCTCTGCACCTGGGAAAACCCCTCCTCACCATGACGGTGTGCGACAGCAGGATGTGCAGCTCACGCAATCGAATTCCCCTTGAGAAGTTTCTGCTGTCCCTCTTACTGTCCCTCCCCTGGTCGCAGCAGTCATTGTATCCGTCCAGGTGTGTTATGAGTCGACTGAAAACCCCTCCTCCTCACCATGACCATGTGTGACAGCACGAGCACCCCCGTCTCTCACCATGACGGTGTGCGACAGCAGGATGTGCAGCTCGTGCAATCGAATCCCCCTCGAGAAGTCTCTGCTGTCCCTCCCCCTGTCGCAGTAGTTGCGAGCAAACTCGTACTTGGACGTGCCCAGCAGGCCAGGCCTAGGTGAACCAGCGAGCGTAAGGGGAGACGGTTGGAGAGAAGTCAGGGGGGAGAAGGCAGGACAATGACAAGCAGACAGGCCAGACATGTTTGCAGATAGAGAGATGGAAGAAAGGGCAAGGAGAACGGCCCAGCTCGCAGGGAGAGAGAGAAGTATCCTGATGTACGTATCTCTCTCAAGCTCGGCTCTCTGGGAGGGAGGGGGGGTGTATTTTGAGGCGCCTCAAAATACGCCTCAAAAGGCGCCTCAAAGGCACCTCTAACCCCAGCTCGCAGGGAGAGAGAGAAGTACCCTGATGTATGTATCTCTCTCAAGCTCGGCCCTCTGGTAGTGGGAGGGATGGCTTACCAGAGGCTGTCGACCAGGTTGAAGATGTCAAAGGGCCTGCAGGTAGAGAGTAGCACAGAAAAGGGGATGGTGGAAACATTTGAGCCGGCTCAAAAGAGGCTGTCGACCAGGTTGAAAATATCAAAGGGCCTACAGATAGAGAGAAGCACAGAGAAGGGGATGGGGGAGAAGATGCTCATAGAGTCTTGTAAGGAAGGATAAGCAGCGAGCGGAGAAGAAAGAGTGGGGAAGGAGCAGCAGCAGAAGCAGCAGCAGCCGCGGCATCACATCGTTACAGTCTCACGCGGTGAGTGCGGCAACGTGCCTGGAAAGCGAGGGAGTGCCGGTGAGCAGGATGGCTCGCTTGGTGCGCCGAATCACATCCACCACCACTCGAGTCTGATGCACACGGGTGGTGGGGGTGAGGAGGGAAGGGAGGACAGGGAAGGAAAGGGAGGGGAGGGAGGAAAGTTGCGTTGGTGCGCCGAATCACATCCACCACCACCCAAGTCTGATGCACACGGGTGGTGGGGGTGAGGAGGGAAGGGAGGAAAGCGGAGGCAGTTAGGGTTTTGAGTTGACGGAAAAGTTGCTTTGGTGCGCCGAACCACATCCACCAACACTCGAGTCTGATGCTCGAGGTGAGGGTGGTGGATCTGTCAAGAAGAAAGACGAACGGGTTCAATTCACGACGAGCATAAAACGTCTCAAAATCCCTTTCTCCATCGCCCCCTCCCGTGCTGGGATTCCCTCACCTCCAGGCAGTCAAAGGGTTTCCTGGCAGTGCGCAGCACGTGTACTTCATGCACCACCATCCCCCACCCCCCTTGTGCCCCTCCCTGCCCCTCAACGCTCTAGGTTTTTCGGTTCTAAATCTGCTTTTGAGTCGACTCAAAGGGTCAAAAGCAGGTTCTAAATCTGCTTTTGAGTCGACTCAAAGGGTCAAAAGCAGGTTCTAAATCTGCTTTTGAGTCGACTCAAAGGGTCAAAAGCAGGTTCTAAATCTGCTTTTGAGTCGACTCAAAGGGTCAAAAGCAGGTTCTAAATCTGCTTTTGAGTCGACTCAAAGGGTCAAAAGCAGGTTCTAAATCTGCTTTTGAGTCGACTCAAAGGGTCAAAAGCAGGTTCTAAATCTAGGGCCCCTCCCACCTCCATGCAATCAAAGGGTTTCCTGGCAGTGCGCAGCACCTGAGCCTCGTCCACCACCACCATGCCGCACCAGCCCCGTCAAGGTTTTGGGTTTGGGGTTTCGGAATTAGAGTGTCCCTCACCTCTAAGCAATCTAAGGGCTTCCTGGCGGTGCACAGCACGTGAGCCTCGTCCACCACCACCATGCCTCACCCCCCTCGCCTCGCGCCACGTCCCCTCTGCAGCATATGCCCACATTCTTCCCCCATCCACCCCCCCCAAGTGCTTCATTCTCACCTCCAGGCAGTCGTATGGTTTCCTGGCAGTGCGCAGCACGTGAGCCTCGTCCACCACCACCATGCCCCACCCCCCTCGCCTCCTCATCAGCGTTCGTCTCAACCTGCCTGCCATGGTGAAGGACGTGATCACCACTGCTGGGGCTGCCACAGGGGGAGTAGAGGGTTTAGGGAGGAGAGAGGGTTGAGTGGAGCGAGACTCTCACTGCCACAGTGCTACCTTATCAGCTGCCCTGCCATGGTGAAGGACGTGATCACCACTGCTGGGACTGCCACAGAGGGGGGAGGGGAGGAGCGGAGGGGTTGAGATGGGTTGAAGGGATGAGCAGGGATAGGAGGGCTCTGGGCTCGTCCACCCACCACCACCATGCCCCACCCACCTCGCCTCCCCATCAGCGTTCGCCTCAGCCTGTCTGCCATCGTAAAGGACGTGATCACCACTGCTGGGGCTGCTTTGGGGAGGGAGGGGGAGGTGAAGATGACAATCAGTGGGGAGGTGAAAATGACCATCAGTGGGGAGGTGAATATGACAATCAGTGCCAGTTCCGAGAGCCCTCTTCCCCTCGTCCTCCTCTACTAGGTCGCCCCTTTGACTCCAAAAACTGACCTCACCTGTGCTCTTTGCGTTGTCCGTGTGACTGTTGGAATGACCATGGGTGCCCGTTCCAAGCGCCCTCTCCCCCTCGTCCTCCTCTACTAAATCGTCCCTCTGGCCAAACACTGCGGGCAGTCACAGGGTTGTGGAGATCAAACATATCAACATGTTTCAACAAACAGTGCTTTGAGTGACCATCAGTGTCCATTTCGAGCGCCGTCTTCCCCTCGTCCTCCTCTACTAGATCGTCCCTCTGGCCAAGCACTGCAGGGAGACAAGGAGGTAAAGATTTTCATTAGTTAAAACTAGTGCCTTGGGAAAAATTCAAACTTGAAACGAGCAGGCACTGCTGCAGAGGCAAGAACATTTGGCAAGGATCAGCACAGTCGCTGCACGTGCTTACTGCAGGGGCTGCAGGGGCTTACCCACTTGGTAGCACCATGAACGCAGGGCAGCTAGTAGCACACGCCAGATCGCTAGTGTTGCTCGCTTGTACTGTGTGATTGTTACCTGGTTGCGGCGAGGGCAGGGGCCTACCAATGTGGATTTGAGATGGGCGCAGGAAGGGAAGCCACCTTTCCAGCTGCTCGGCCCACTGCAGCCTGAGGCATGCCGGGCACACGATGAGGAGAGGGCCCTCTGCCATGTACCACGCCGCTACTGCTATGGCCTGGGGGAGCAAGGGGAGAGATGGGACGAGAAAACACAGAGGGTGCGGAAGAAAGAGGGTGGGAGGGATGTGCTTGTTAAAGCCTGTGAGTATAGGGCTAGAGGCAGCTGCTCGGCCCACTGCAGTCTGAGGCATGCCGGACACACGATGAGGAGAGGGCCCTCTGCCATGTACCACGCCGCTGCTGCTATGGCCTGCCGGGGCAAGCGGATGGACGGGCCGAACACGAGAGACAGGGAGCAAGCGAAGAGCCAGTTGAATCCTCTTTCGGCAGCGCTAAGGCTAGCTGTACTGGTCGCCCCACTGCAGCCTGAGGCATGCCGGGCACACAATGAGGAGAGGGCCCTCTGCCATGTACCACGCCGCTGCTGCTATGGCCTGGGGGAGGGGGAAGGAGTGTGAGATACCACAAGCAGTTGCTCAGTCCACTGCAGGCTGAGGCATGTCATGTCAGCCGGCTGGACACACAACGAGGAGAGGGCCCTCTGCCATGTACCACGCCACTGCTGCTATGGCCTGACGAGAGGGGGCAACAGGAGGATAGGAGCAAGGGAAGTACTGAAGTGTGAGGCACGCCGGACACACAACGAGGAGAGGGCCCTCTGCCATGTACCACGCCGCTGCTGCTATGGCCTGACGAGAGGGGGCAACAGGAGGATAGGAGCAAGGGAAGTACTGTAGTGTGAGGCACGCCGGACACACAACGAGGAGAGGGCCCTCTGCCATGTACCACGCCACTGCTGCTATGGCCTGACGAGAGGGGGCAACAGGAGGATAGGAGCAAGGGAAGTACTGTAGTGTGAGGCACGCCGGACACACAACGAGGAGAGGGCCCTCTGCCATGTACCACGCCGCTGCTGCTATGGCCTGACGAGAGGGGGCAACAGGAGGATAGGAGCAAGGGAAGTACTGTAGTGTGAGGCACGCCGGACACACAACGAGGAGAGGGCCCTCTGCCATGTACCACGCCGCTGCTGCTATGGCCTGACGAGAGGGGGCAACAGGAGGATAGGAGCAAGGGAAGTACTGTAGTGTGAGGCACGCCGGACACACAACGAGGAGAGGGCCCTCTGCCATGTACCACGCTGCTGCTGCTATGGCCTGACGAGAGGGGGCAACAGGAGGATAGGAGCAAGGGAAGTACTGTAGTGTGAGGCACGCCGGACACACAACGAGGAGAGGGCCCTCTGCCATGTACCACGCCACTGCTGCTATGGCCTGCAGTGGATGGGGCAGAAGGAGGGTGTGGGTGGGAGGTGCGTCGTGAGTCAGTCTCGGATCACTGTAGTCAGAGGCATGCAGGCCGGCCGGACACACACACACACACACACACACACACACACACACACACACACACACACACACACACACACACACACACACACACACACACACATGTGGGCAGAACTCATCAAACAAACAAATTCGCGGCAAGCCCACCTGTAAGGTCTTCCCGACGCCCATCTCGTCTGCAATCAGGCATCGCCCCCCTCTCCTCACTGCAAACTCCACTCCCTCCCTCTGGAACGGCCTTAGACACCCACACACACACGTATATGGTCTACCTGGATGGTCTTCCCCACACCCATCTCGTCTGCAATCAGGCATCGCCCCCCTCTCCCCACTGCAAACGCCACCCCCTCCCTCTGGAACGGCAGCAGTGCTCGCCGGAGCTGAATTGGCAGCCGTTGCTCCATCTCCTGATCCAACGCACTCCTTGTCGAACCACCTTGCCCCGAACCTACTGCCAGGTCACTTGCTGGACAGGCGAGGTTGAGAGAAGGTGAAAAATGAGTGCCTTCTGCTGCTGAAATTCCTGCCCATCCTGCCCCTGCTTCTCCTCCTGCTGGTGCTGCTGCTTCCGCTGCTCCTCCTCCTAATCCTCTTGCTCCTCCTCCTCCTCCTGCTGCTGCCACTGCTGCTCCTCCTGCTTTCACTTTAACAGATACTCCTACGGTGACCGCTGTTGCTGTGGCTCCTTTGATTCCGACCTCTGCTGCTGCGGATGCTGCTGCTTCCACCATCCCTCTCATCCTCTCCCTCTCTTTCCTCTCCTTCAACGCACCTAGCGTACTCACAGGCACGCCCTGTATCCGCACCCCCACACTCACTCTCTCACACTGCTCTGGTTGTCGGTTTGGAGGAAGGGGTTGTGAGGCATGGAAGGGAGGGAGGGAGCGGAGGGAGAAGAGGAGGGAGTCGTAGAGGCGAAGAGGGAAGACCGGCACCAGGCGGGTGACGCCCCTTAATGCCTCTGTTGCCACGTGCTGCCACCTGATCGGCCGAATCTGCAAGCACAGCAGTGGTGGACGGTTGGGAAGGGAGGGATGGAGCAGGACTGGTCTGGTCTGGTTGCTAGTTTCATGCAAGGGGTTTAAGGGGTTGTGAGGCTTGGAAGGGAGGGAGGGAGCGGAGGGAGAAGAGGAGGGAGTCGTAGAGGCGGAGAGGGAACACAGGCACCAGACGGGTGACGCCCCTTGATGCCTCTGTTGCCACGTGCTGCCACCTGATCGGCCGAATCTGCAAGCACAGCAGTGGTGGACGGTTGGGAAGGGAGGGATGGAGCAGGACTGGTCTGGTTGTTAGTTTCATGCAAGGGGTTGAAGGGGTTGTGAGACAGCACGACATCACATCTCGTCACCTTCACGAAGCTCATGCAGAACGCAAGGGCAGTCTGATGATCCAGCCGCTTCCCAATGCTGCCCCTGCTGCCTGCATCTTCCTCGCTGCCATTCTGGCGCCTTGTTGCAACTTCTCTTCCCTGCATACAATTCTCGTTATAAGAACCGCATGTATTAGCCGCGTCTCCAATCACAGGCACTTTCTGATTTCCTCGCCTGGTGCCGGATTGTCTCCCGTTCCTCCCGCCCTGCACTCCTCCAGCTCTTCTCATGTACTCCTTATAAGCAGCTCCGCTTGTGTCCCAATCCGCAAAGACACAGAACTCTTCTGTTGAAACGAGCTCCAGAGATAGCTGCAGAGGAGCTTCTGGGCCCTGCTTATGCTGTGGCTGCGGTTGCTGTGGCTGCTGCTGCTGCTGCTGCTGCTGCTGCTGCTGCTGCTGCTGCTGATGATGATGATGATGATGATGATGACCATGATCCCTGCTCTCTTCTCCTCCTTCCACCTGCTGCCTCAGCCTCTCTGCTCGCCTCTGCATGGCTGCTTGCCGGTTCGCATTGATTCGCTCCTGAACGTCCAACGGAAGCAGTGAGTCTTCACTTTGTTTCTGAGATTTCTCACAAACCAGCAGCGAATCTTCACTGGGTTTTTGCAATTTCTCACAGACAAGCAATGGATTTCCGCTTGGCTTTTCCAATTTCTCACAAACCAGCAGAGAATCCTCACTGTTTTCCCCCGTTTCACCAGCGAATCCTGCCTTGACTGATGCGCATTCAGCAGCTGTCTGCACCAATGCTCTGCTCTCTGACCCTTGCATCAAGACCTGACCCTTCTGCTCTGGACCCTGATGCTCTATCTCCGCTGCTCTGCTCCCTAACCCTTGTGTCATGCCCTTTTCCTTGTGTTCTGCTTGACCCTTCTCTATCTCCCTTGACCTCCCAGACTTCTCATTTTCCACCTGCAGCAGTTTATCAGTGCTGTCTGTGCTCTGCACGAGCTCCTCGCGAATCCTGCACTCGGTGCTCTCATCTTGTTGCATCTGCTTGATTCCATTTTCACGAGGATCCGTGCGATCAGCCACATGTGTTGCTCGAGTGGAATCGGGAGGCAGCTGCTTTCCCTGTGTCAGAAAATTCGTCTGTGGTGCTTCATCAGACACGCTGACTCGCGCTTGATCGCCTGCAGGCAATCGATCGCAGCCAAACGTCGCCTGCGACTCGTCAGCGTCGTCGACCAGCCAGGCGAACACCTTGGCTGCTCGCGACGTTTTGCGACTGGCGAATCCGGGCCTGCGACGAGTAGATGTCGCCATCCTCCTTTTGTCCGCATCACTGCCGGAAACGCGAACTTACAGCACTAAGCGCTCGCTAATGGGACACTACTGGCTAAGATTACTAAAGATATCACGGTCCACACACACCATGTCCGATATAATCCAGAATGCAGGTACCAATACTAAGGACAGTATAGCCACTTTCTGAAACCGGTAAGCTGTAGTGGTCTAAGGACATCTTAAAATGATATAATGGACCAGGACTTTGAGTTGCTGTGAGCTACCATACAATGGTCGGATTCTATAATCATCCATGAGTCAAGCATAACAGCAACGACCTAGAGATTGGTTTTGGTTCGGGACGGAATCCTCAAGGGAAACTCAGGGTTTCTGGAATCCAGAAAGGGATTCCCGAATGAGGCTGAAAGAGGAGGAACAAGAAGTGACGCTGACGCCATTTTCAGTTTCGCCATTGTCGGAGCGAACGCCTTTGCGACAAGGTCGGAAAAAGTCGAGCTCTGTTACCGGAAATTGTCAGAGGTTGGCTCCAGGGTGGCCAATCCCGATGGATTCAAGCTTAGTACTCGCTATTCGACTTCGAAGTTCGAGAATATATTCCGCTTCCGGAAAACCACTTCCCTTACGCACTTCACCACCGTAAGCGGATTTCAATGGCTGCATTAGTGAGGGAACCACATGAGCAAGAGACGAAATAGGGGCGTATTCGTACGGCCTCATATCAGGCCACCTCGTACCAAGATTGTACCTTTTGCCGGGTAAATGGCGACACAGGCATATGGTAACATATTTCATCAAGCAAAACCATACAGTAACCAGTTAAACAATACGGATGGTAATGTAGAAGGGGCAAACCTACATAACCCGGTGTTCCAACACTACATGCTTGCATCATCAACCTAGAGCATTTGTCCCGTTTACTTGTAATCCTAGTTGTGCTGCAGCTTCTGCTGCTGCCACTGCACCTGCCTGCATCTACCCCTCCCCCATAACCACCTCCAACCGTTTCCTCCCATTTTCATTATCAGCTGCACAGCTTGCACTGACCACACAGCACCACACAGCACCACACCACACCACCACCTCCACCGTGTCCGCCCTCCATTCCATCATCACTCCACACCATCGCAAATCCCTTCACCAGAGGCTGATGCCGCCTCCCACCTCCAATGCCGCCTCCGACCTCCACTGCCGCCTCCCAAGCCCACTGTCAGCTTCAGGAACCTTATCCACCTCCACTTCCACCTCCAGGAACCTTTTCCACTGACACTGGAATCTCCTGCTAACCACAGCACTGCGTCCTGCCAGTCACCTCCCCTCCTCATGAATGCTGCTGCTTCAATCCCTCTTCACCACCTCTTGCATGTGGATATGTGTGAATGCATGTGGATGCACGTAGAAGCAACCGGAACCGGAGCGCGTCTAGACGCACGTAGATGCATGTGCATGCATGTGGACAGATGCGGATCACAGCCGCTCGTGCAGCCGTTAAATCCCATCAATGGACGGCAGCGACTCCTCCCATTCAATCACCGCTTTCGTCCTCGACGCGCCCGCGGCGGGCGCGCGGTTTCCGCCAACCAGCGCCGTCTCCAGATTTAGCTTCTTCTCCGCGTCGCGCTCCATCTGCTCCAGCTTCGCCTTGCGATGCGATCGCCAAAACACCCACGCGAGGCAGCCCAGAACCAGCAGCAGGAAGAAAATCCCTATGGATAACCCCACCGCGAGTGCTACAGTGTCGTTGTTAGACGACGGTGCGGGGGATGGCGGAGGAAGTGGTTGCGGGGGGGGAGGAACGGGGGAAGGGGGAGGCGGAGTGGGGGGAGCGGGGGAAGGTGGAGGAGATAGCGGCGGGGGTTCGAGGGAGATGGCTAGGGTAAATTCCCCTAGGTCGGGAGATTTGCAGGTGTAGTTGGTGGTACCCGTGACCGGAGTTGTAGATGACGGCGGCGGGGGAGACCTGTCGGTTGTTACTGTAGAATTAATCGGCAAACCGTCAGCGTCAAACGTCACGCAGAAGTAAAAATCCGGAAAGTAAACGTCCAACGCCAGGGAGACCTGAATCGGCGTGTTTGAATCCGTTACAGACACATTCAGCGGTTGGACAAGAGTCGCGCTGTTGATCATCGAAAACGGGTACACGCTCAGCCCCACGAATTGGGCCGCGTATTTGTAACCCTTCGGCGGTTTAAACGGCGCCGTGAAATTAGGGTAATTCTGGTACAGTAACACCACCTGCGACTCCGTCGTAGGAACATTTAACCCGGGCGGTAAGTAAAACTCCTTAAAACGAATACCATTTGCAGCGAACGACGCAGTATCGAGGACGGCGAGGTCCATAGTCGACCCAGAAGAGGGTGTTGAAGGTAGGGTTATTATCGTTCCGTTGGTCGCATTTGCGACGTGCGAAAACGCAATCGCCTGCACGACTTCGTGGAACAGCTGTAACCGCTTCTTCGCGATCGCGTCTTGGTCGGTCGACTTCGTCGTTGCGGCTGCGGCGGGTTGCGCGGCTTTTCCGCGCACAGCGCCTGGCGGAACGGATTGCGCGGAGACGAGCTGGTGCGCTATCGGCGACGCGAGGAGAAGCAGGGAGAGAAGGGCGAAGAGACGCGGTAGGCGGGACGAAAAGAACGAGGTTGTCCGCCCCATAGCTGCAGGTCGAAAGGGTATGCGGGAACTGTCACTGGCACTAAGAAGAAAACGATTAGGAGGTGACGACCAAGTAGCGACACTGGAGGCGACTAATGACAGCGGTTACTTAGTGAAAGTAGGAGTCTGCAGGTCGGACCCGTTGCCATGGTGTAAACTTAGTTCGTAGTAGGTGCCTCTCTGCAGGAAGAAGTAATGTATTCGTTTGCTATTGCGGTTTGCAGTAATGAGAGGCGGTGAGCAGGGGCGAGAGTATTCGACCCAGCGGGTCCAGATGAAATGCGATATTGTCGCTGTCGCAGGTCCGTTTGAGAAAAGGGCTGCAGCTATGGCAATGGGTGCCTCAAGTCGCAACCTAACTGGAAATTGCGCAAGTCATGGGAGGACGTGCTCTGATGGATCACTTAGGAAATGAGTGGAATGGAGAAGACCAGAGCAGCAGGGCAGCGGGGCAGCAGAGCTTCAGCAGCAGCACCATCAAAAGCTGCAACAGAAGCAGCTAGGAAAGCGAAACACGTACAGTACACCACTCTTTCACCGAATGGGGTGGATGGAACAAAGCGGAGGAGGGGGAGGAGTGGTGGATCCGAAGCAAAGGGTTGTGTTTTTTTCTGCCTGTTGGTCGAGGCTCGAAGAATCAGGGGTCACCTGGTTTGACAGGTATTGGTTGGTTTGGTTCCGGTGATTTTGGTTCGTTAATGCAGGCAGTACAGTACGTAGTCGACGCGCCGCGGCAGCTGACGGTGTGCCGAGCCTCGAGGGGCAAGGTAGGCGCGAGAATGGACAAGTGGGCTAAAGGGGAAAAGCCGAACCGAGTTCTTGGGGCCGAAGGCTTGGAATGGGAGCCGAGTTCTGGGCGACTTTTGGAAGTCAGTAAGTCTGATTGACGTTCAAATTCTCGACGAATCAGAAGTGCAGCTGGTCGAACGACTGTCGTTATGTCATCGCACAGTTCGTAACAAATCAACACAGAGGAGCAGGTCCTCGGAGCGAATCGCCTGTCATGAATGTTGTTTCACGTTCAAACTAGCGGTGTGGTTCGTTTGCTCCGTACCTCTCTCTTTGGTTTTGCTCGTGACGCCGAATCGCCCTGCTTTGGTGTGGTGAAACGGCGGCGGAAGATTGCATGATGGATTTGGCACAGTACGCTTCGTAACAGACAGAAGAATTTCCTGGATGAGCTGGAAACGTAAATCAGAATACATTGTCATTGACAGCTAGAAGCCAGCATCAGGTCTAAACAGGCATGCATCCTAATGCCCCTATCAAAAGTGGGCATAGACACATAAAAGACTAGCAGGTGCAAAATACCTCAATTCCAAGTTAAAACTACCAATCATGGAGTTGATGCAACACTAACAAGCCGCGCTAATTGTTTTAGGACCATAAACTTCCACACCACATTAAAGCAACAGTACGCAGAACCACAGTCATGGAAGACCCCAAGCGGGCACTCGATATGACTCACAAATTTAGGACGCTTCACGGGAAACCTCAAACCGTGTGGGCGTGTCAATCTGAGAGAGGACTGTGAGGCCTGAGACGAGAATCATGAGCATCACAATGCCCTGAAGGCATGAAAGACAAAGAAACATGGAAGTTCAAAGGAAGACAAGTGGTCAGATAAAACGCAATAATTGCCAAACACTCAGACCCACAAGAACAGTCCAGCCCAGGGAAGTAAGGTGGGGTGACATGGAAAACAACAAGGAAACAAAGCAGAGGGACTAACTCACAGCAAATATGCCCTCAAGGAGAGCGGTACGGGTCTTGCACGTTGGCCCACACTTGTTCTTCGCCACCGCCGCCTTAACCACTTTCTGTCCCTCCACACCCTCTGCACCCGCACCAGCATCCGCACCGGCACCAACACCCTCACCACCGCCTGCAGCAGCAGCATCAGCAGCACCTGTGCCGGCAGCAGGGTAGTCGTCAGCAGCAGCGAGGAGGCGCCTCTGCGCTCCCACGTCGGCATCGGGGAGTGCAGTGTAGAATAGAGCGTAGTTGGGGGTAATGGCCTTGATGTGGGACACCAGATTGGAGAGCTCAGTGGCTGCGAGAGGAGATGAGAGTGGAAAGCAGAGGGGAGACAAGCAGAAGGAGTGCGGTGTGAGGGAGTCCGCTGTAGAAGCAGGCGTAGCTGGGGGTGACAGCCTTGATGAGGGCTGCCAGAGTAGAAAGATAAGAGGCTGTGAGGGGAAATCAAAGGTGGAATCAGAGGGGAAATCAGAGGGGAGATCAATGGGGAGACAAGCAGAACAGTGCAGTGTGAGGGAGTGGCTGCAAGAAAAAAATTGAGGGGAGACAAACAGGCCTGCAGTATGAGGAAGTGCGGTGTGAGGGAGTGCGATGTGAGGGAGTGCGGCGAGAGGGAGTGTGGTGCAGAATCGAGTGTAGTTGGGGGCGATGCACTGGATGAGGGAAGTTAGAGTGAAGAGCTCAATAGCTGTTGGAGGATGGACTCAGAAAGTTAACAAGGAGACTAAAATCAAACAAGCACCTCTCTGAAGGAGTGGAGTGCGGTGTGAAGGAGTGCCAGGTGAGGGAATGTGGTGTAAGGGAGAGTGATGTGTAGCTTTGGGGTGAAAGAAGATTCTCTCACTTTCTGCTGCAACAGCATCGTCGTGTGAGTCAGCGCTTGCAGGGCCATCCGAGCAATAGAGCACCATGTCCAGCTCCCTAGATGCCCTCACGCTGGCACGGTTGTTCAGAAGGTCCTGAACGTGAGGAAATTCACAAGAGGAGATGCACGAGGGAAATGAAAAAGCACACTCTAGCCAAAAATAACGTGAAATTGCATCCGAGGCCAAGCAAGAACAGCAAACCGAGGCCACAGCGGCATCCGAGCAGCAAAGCATAATGTCAAGCTCCCTTGTCGCCCTCCTGCTGGCAAGGTTGGTCAGGGGGCCATGCAAGAACAGCAATGCACAAGGAGAGTTGCATAAGGCATGGAAACATCACACAGTAGTGCAAAGTGTCATCAGCGCACAGGGTCACACAAGGGAGAGACGAATCACGAGCCGACACGAGTCAGAACCTCGCAGCACAGAGCAGTTACCTACCGACGACGACGAGACAGACGCAGCTTACCCACCTAGTGGGAGTCTTCATTCCCACAGAGTTGGGTCCCCATACGAATGACAGGCCCACACGAAGCAAGCACTGAGCGCAGCCCACCCCGTATAGGCCAGCGAGGAGAAGTAAAGCATTCCAGAGAGAAGAAGCTGGCACTCTATTTGCACACCCTTCCTTCACTTCAGACGGCCATGTACCTGGAGCGAGTCTTCACTGCTAAAGCGGTGAGTTCCGGGACGACTTTTGAGTCGACTCAAAAGTCAACACTCTATTTGCACACCCTCCCTTCAGTTCAGACAGCCATGCCATGCACCTGGAGCGAGTCTTCACCGCTGAAGCGGTGGGTTCCGGGACGGGAGACGGGCCCACATGAGGCACTGACAGCAGCATGTCCCGCATAGGCCAGGGAGGAGAAGGAGGCAAGCAGAGCATCGAGCGCGTGGGCAGTGTCAGCGTGGTCGAGCGGCTGGACGTAGGGGAAGACCTTGGAGGACGCGGACTGGGAGAGGAGTGCCTGTAAAGAAAAGGGAGTGAAGAAGGAAAGGGAAGAAAGACGGGAAGGGAAGGGGACCAGGAACGGGGAAAAGAGGGGCGGGAGGGAGCAAAGACGGGTACGGAGAAAAGGCGGGAGAAAGGGGAGGAAACGGAAAAATAAATTGAGTGAAAACGGAGGCGAGGGAGGAAAACCAGGGAGGGAGAAAAGGGAGGAAAAGAGAAATGAGAATGATGAGAAACGAAGGGAGAGGAGGAAGGAGAGGAAAGGCGAAAAGCAGGGGAGGAGTAAACAAGGGAGCAAAGCCAATAGAGGAAAGAAGGCGAGGAAAGGAGTGGGGCAAGGAGGGAGAGAGGGAAGAAGGCAGCAAGTGCAGACGTGAGAACAGGGGGACTGAGTATGCGCACATAAGAAAAAACACCTTGGAAGTTTCGAGAGGAGCAAGGAAAAGCGAGGGAGAGAGGATTGAGGGCGGCAAGCGAACAGAAGATGAACGAGGCAAGCGCTCCTCAGACGTCTGCGTGAGAGGATGCGAAGTGAACTATAGACTCCATCTCCCCACTTTCCAACCCGCCAACCCTTTTCCCCTACGTACGCCCATTCTCCCCCATTCCCTCCTCCCCCCTCCCCCCTCCTCCCTCCCCGAAAGTCCCAAACGCCATGCCATACTCTACCCTGTTCCCCATAGAACTTCTCCGTTTCTTCCCACCCGCTTCTCCCACCCCATGCCTTTCTCGGCGCTAGGAGCGTACCTTCAGAGGCTCAACGGATCCAGTTGGAGACGACAGGTCGGTGGTTCGAATCTGCAAAACAGCATGGAAGAAGCAAAAGAGTAAGTTTCCAAGGCTCGCACGCAGGACATGCGCAGCTCCCGATGGTGCTACCAATATAAAAAAAGACGAACAAGAAGTGAACGTGGTGCAAGACAAGAACGGACATGACAGTTACGAAGGTGATGAAATATCTAGACAAAGCAAAGACTGACTAACCTCCTTGCCCAGGAACACGAGGACCACGCCAGGCCTCTCCTCCGCGAAGGATGAGAAGATCGAATCCTGTAATCGACAAGAGGAGAGAGACGGGTACACGAGAGCGAACGAGCGTTTTGAAGTAGGCCACGGAACAGGAAGTAGTCTTATGGAACGAGTGCATGCGTGCAGGACATGTGTCGACATCCTGATGCAAATCCAACCGATCCAAATCTGATGGCCCTTGAGTGAAGCTCGGTGCACTCAGACGTTACTCGATGTAAAAACTACTAGAAGCAGAGATTCAGAAGGAGGCCGCTTCTGACTCACGACATACGCCAGCGTCGGATGGCTGGCTTTATGAAAAGGAGGTGTTGACGACATGATACGACACACTGAATGAGTTATGGAAGATAACAGGGACGCTCGCCAATGACATTGGTCAACAATCCGCGAATGAGGATTATAGGGCCAGCGAAATGGATTGGGTTATATCAGGACGCGTGATCGTAAAACGGGTGTTCTTACATCGCGAGAAGGGTCGAACAGGAGAGAAGGAAGAGCGGATCCTTGAACTGACTCGTAGCTGACAGCTTCAGTCGGATCTGACAACCTGCGGAACCCTAAAAGTTAGTCGACTGAACTGAAACGGCGATGCGATCAGAAAGACTTTAAGAAAAACGATCCTGGTAAAATTACAAAGCTTGGACGAGGTTAAGTGTGATACCTGACGCTCGAGCTGAAAATGGCAGGTACAGCAGCGAGGCTATGAGGAAGCAAGCACACCAGAATGGTGGCAATCCCGAGTAACCCGAGCAGAGCTTTTGATCCGGCCATCGTTATACCACTTAGGGAAGGAAATAAGCGCTTCAAGGCGGCAGCAAGCAATATTGCTGCTAAGCTCGGACTAAAATGCAAATAAAAACTCGAAGTTACGGCTCCTCTAGTAAAATTCCTAGGTATGGCTTGATCAATGTTTCCTGCATCATGTCCAGGGAGTTCGCCTTGAAAGCATGCGTTTCTGTTCGGTTTATTCTGTTCCAAAGCGGTAAGAAGTGGAAATCGTGCTGAATCGTGAAGAACCCAACTGAACCGCATACGACCAATTGCTGCTATCGTAGCTCTCTAGGGTCAGCTGGATAGTTCAGGCGGCATTACAGCAGGAGGAGCACACACCCTTGTGGTTAACGAACAGCTCTGTCAGAGTAACAGCCCTCCGCAAGGCACTTCGCAAAAGCCCTGGACGTACTTCGGTCGCGTTTGAGCTGGAGGCTGGGCACGTGCTCCTGACGAACTCCAGTTTTCGTCGGCGTGTGTTACGAGCTTCGCAAAACTCAGAATCTCACAACTCCATCGGGAATGCGCGAAATATCAAACCAATGCTGCAGACAGCAACACCACGCTGCAACCATTTCGAACAGCAGGGAAAGGGAGAAAATGGTTCCAAGGCAAGAGGGAGGATGCAGAACGCACGTCACCGTTCACTACCTTGTGGGACCGCAGTAACACGAGTACGAGACGTTCAAGAACGTATCCCACCGAACTGCAACTCTCCAGAAAAATCTTGTTTCAGATCAAGCTTATCCAGACACGACAAGTAACCAAACCAGTGATGGCCGAGCGACTAGGTTTTACCGTTGCTGATCCACAAAATCCATGGCTCCCCCTCAGGTTCACCGTCTTCCAACCTCCACATACAGGCGCGTAGCCTCTTCCCTGTCACCTCCACTTCCCTCGTCTCTACCTGTGATCAAAAGCTTTTCTAGTGGCTGTGTATTCCGTGCGGCTGCGATCAGATCGTTCGCCAGATCGTCGTCGCGAACGACCATCCGTTTGCTGAGCAAGCCTACAGAGAAGAGCCTAGTGTTCGCGAAAAGCACAAGCGGGTTACCAAATTTCTCGCTTTCTTCGCAGCCTACGATTTCTTCGCCTGCGTCCTCGTCCGTTTCTGTATCCAGCTCGCGATCTTCGCCACGACTGTCCCTTCTCGCGAGATTTACATCAATTTCGTCGTCATCATTCACATCAACCTCCCGGTCGTCACCAATCATGGCTGCAGCTCCTTGCGTGCAAGCGTTGGAGCAGCGCCTTCCTAATTCGCCGGTTAGCCTTCCATTTTCGTCGCTCCACCGTCACGCCGACGGACGGCCGAGAAACCGCGTCAGGGTAAAGCTCAACGACGAGGCCGCGTTTTTTCAAGCGCTGACGGCTAGCCGTCAAGTTTACACCGGCGTGACCGTCAACGCAGCCGGAGGAAACGGGGCGACGATCCCGACAAGCGATTTACCGCCGGAGGAGAAGCAGAAAGACGTGGCCAGAGACAGTGGGGATGGGGCAGGGGCAGCTGGGAGATCTTCGGGAGCTTCCGAGGAGAAGAAGAAGGAGGAGGTGATGACGTTGCCGACTATCCTAACGATCGCTCGCGTCGTAGCAGTTCCCGCCATAATTCCCGGTACGTCCGATTCAGGAATCCTTAATAGTGAAAGACCCAAAACTCATGCTGACGATCGCTCGTGCGGTAGCAGTACTAGTGAGTAGTGATCTGTTGACAATGCCTGACCTGTTCACGATACAATAAGGGTTTTAACCCGTTCCTTTCTCCCGTTCGTTTCTTCCTCCCGTTACTCCTTCCTCCCGTTCCTCCCGCTGCTAACGTGAACCTTTCTTCCGTTCGTTTCTTCCTCCTGGTGTCCCTCCCTCTTTTTCTTCCGTCCCTTCCAGCGTTCTTCTTCACCCCGGGAACCGCCTCGGCCATTTTCATCATGGCCTCAAACACTGACCGCCTCCCGTTGTTCCTTCCTTGCTCCCGTTGCTCTTCCCTCCCGTTCCTCCGTCCCTTCCAGCGTTCTTCTTTACCCCGGGAATCGCCACCGCCATCTTCATCATGGCCTCGATCACTGATTGGCTGGACGGGTACCTGGCTCGGAAAGTGCGTCACATGGTTATTGCGTTGCTTTTATTCGTTGCTCGGTTTGCTGCATTTAGAGTTGTCCATCCCTTCGTCACCTTGTTTCCTCTTCCTACCACCCTCCCACCCACCCTTCCCCAACCCCCCCTCCACACCCTCCTCCTCCCTCCCCCCCAACCCCCTCCTCCACTCCACACCCGCCCCTACTCCTTACCCCGTATTACTTCTCCCCCCTCACCCGCACTGCACTCTCTCACTCTCTGTCGCCGCTTTTCTCACTTCCTTCCACATTCTCATATGCTCTTCCTGTTTCCAATTCACACATATACTCGTACTCTTGTTGTCTTCGACACACACATGCTCCCATACTCTTAGTGTCTCCCATTCACACATGCCCCGATGCATTCTGCTGTTTCTTTTGCCTTTGGTATTGATGTTGCAGATGAATTGCAGCTCTGCGTTTGGAGCTTTCTTGGACCCTGTTGCGGATAAGGTGAGCTGCGAATCATTCATGTGCGAGCAGAGCACACACATGTGCTGTGCTCGCATACATGCATGCAATGCATGCACACACACACACACACATCCATGGCTCACACTCACACAAGTGCGCACTCGTTCTAGATTGATTGGAAGTCCACCATTGCTGCATGTTACGATTTTGTTACAGAACCTTCATTTGCTGAATGACTACACGTGCAAATTACACACCCACCCACCCTCCCCCTCTCCAACACAAATGCCTCTTCTCTCTCTGGTGTCATCACATGAGCTTTTCAAGTTTTCCCTCCCCTGCCGCGTATGCTGCTACCTAGCTGCATTGCTGTAGTTAACAATCTTTTGTTCTTGTTCACGCATATTTTTCCCAACCATCTCTCTCTCTCTCTCTCTGTCTCTTCCATCCTCCCTGTCTCTCCCTTTCTTGTTCTCCTCAACCACTTCCCCTCTCCCATCAACAGCTAATGGTGGCAGCAGTGCTCGTCCTACTCTGCACGGAACCCCCTCCAGTGATCCCCTTCCTCCCATGGGCACTCCCATCCTGGACCATTCCGGTCCCCGCCATCGCCATGATTGGCCGAGAGATTGCCATGTCAGCAGTCCGGGAGTGGGCGGCAGGGGAGGGAGAGAAGCTGAAAAAGGCTACTGCGGTCAGCGGATACGGCAAGTGGAAAACGGCCACGCAAATGGTTGCAATCACGGTGTTGCTCGCCATTAGGTCGCCCATGTGAGTACCGTATTCCCCCACCAAAAGACCCTAAGAAGCTGAAAAAAGGCTACTGCGGTCAGCGGAAACGGCAAGTGGAAAATGGCCACGCAAATGGTTGCAATTACGGTGTTGCTCGCCATTAGGTCGCCCATGTGAGTACCGTATCCCCCCTTGCATACACCCTGAAAAAATACGCACGCCAAGGTGGCTTGAGTGGAAGTCCAAAGCATTCTATCTTGGACCTTAATTCTATCATAACTACCCCTCATGATAATAATAAAAAAAAAACTTTTGTAACAGTAAAAGCAGTTGCACGCTCAATACATTCTCCACCAAAGCTTAATTTTTGCTCTGCACTCCCATTCATACTAGTCGTTTGAATTGCAAGCGCCCCAGGTTTCGTCACCGAATTTGCAAGTGACTTACAACTTGTCGTTACAGTTAACGTAAATTGTAACTTCCCTTACAAATGACTTTTCCACTAGCCCCAGTTCTTCAGCATTTTTTTTTTCGCCAATTACCCCCTCTCCCCCCACACACCCCCCACCTTTCTCCTTCCCCTCCTCCCCTTCCCCCCCCCCCCCAACCCCCCTCCTCCCTCTTCTCCCCGCCCCCGGTTCTGGACGAATCCCATACAACACCTTAGTGTGTTTTGTACTACTCTCCATCCAATTTTTTGCTCCCATGCATTTCTTTCTATCTAGCATCCAACCCTATGCATGAACGTCAGTACCAGCTGTTTTGCCTCGCAATAGTGTAGCTGCTCGTGCCAGAACAGCAGCTAATTTTATTTCCTTTTCCCCATTTTTTTTTTCTTTTCTATAACAGGCTACAACTACCACTTATTGGTCCATTAATCGGTACATCAGGGGTGGTGCTTTTGTACACATCTGCAGTTCTTGCCGTTGCCTCTTTTGCCATCTACATCAGATCTATCGCGGCCGCACTTCGCAATTTGTAGTATCTATAGCCTGGCATATCCACTGGTATATGTGCAGGGATGGCTTACCACTATTTGCTTTGTTGTGGCTTATTAATCCAGAAGTGAGTCTAGAAACCGTAACTAGTAGTGTGCGTGCAGTCCAGACAGTA